AAAATATTGATTACAAAGGTAAATTATCTTATCTATGTAAGTATGTATAATTTCTACACAGGAGTAGGCAGAGTGAGAAATACAGGAGCTTATTCATACCGCCACTGATAATTATAATTTATAGTTTCTTATGTCATGAACACGATAGCTACAAATTAGTATCAAGGGCAGATTTTTTTATCACTTTTTTTAACGAATTTGTTCACAAAATTAGGAATGATGAATGAAATATTAACGATAAAATTATAGCTATACTATATAAATAAATAATTGCATATTATAAAAAATACAACACCTTGATTCGTTAGTCAAAATTACTCTAAAATGGTCTAAAACGACCACTATGCAATAAATTTACCAACAAACAAAATTAACAAAAAAAAATGGTCTAAAGTTATATAGATATATGAAGTACCGGGGAACAAATACAGCTTCTTTGAACAATTATAAAATTTAATTTTGCGAATTTTATTTTTTTATTATAACTCCTATAAGTTAAAATAAAGTTATGTGTGGACTGTTAAAATAAAGGTATAGAGACATGTCATGTCTATGTTTCAAGTGAGTTTTCGTATTGCCAAAATTTGTGAAGACGTCATTAACATTTTTGCAAAGCCATATTATTATACTATTATCAATCAAAATAGGTGCAATGTAATACTAATAATAACAGTACTATATTATACTCAAATTTTCTGGAAAGTGAGATGAGTCGTTCTTATTTGATCAATAAAATAAATTACTTCATTTATTATTTTTTTAATTATCCAATATAAATAATTCTAAAAGCTATAAATTTTAACGATTTACCCGCTTACGATAACTTTAAAACCTTTGCAATATTTGATGATATTCAGTTTTACAATTTTAAAATTAAAATGCAAAATGTTTGTTATTCAGTTTTGATGTTTTTCTCAACACAGATTCATAAACCACAACTGCAGAAGTATATTATTTTATAAAATGTACTATTACAAATTTTGGGGATGATTCAAATACATTTCAATAAAACAAAATAAAGTTTCATTCACAATGACATAAGTCGTATGCAATCCGTAAAATTCGGACATATAAGTAGAACTTTAATGATATAACATTCACATCAGAAAAATTAATACGTACAAGTGCGTAATGCGAAAATTTGTACATTCCAAGTCGAAGTCAAAATGTTGCTTTCAAAAATTTGAAATTGAAAAAAAATGTTTTAAAGACACAAATTTCGAAACCTGAACTAAACTCAAACAAGACCTGTTTCTTACAATAGTTACAAAAGTTGATTCTGCAAACTTTCTACAAGGAATATGTAATACAATTTTAATCGTTGTTCTGCAATCATTAAATCAAAATTGCTTGCCAAAATAAAAAAAAATAATAATTTCGTAGATTCTAAGCCAAATTGTAAAATTTGGTTTCACAAATAGATTTTTATGTAGAATGCCGCACAAAAAATCAAACGACTTTAAATTATATTGATATTAAGGTGTAAATTTGGCGTCATGAACCATAACACAAATATTGAAAATAATAAATTTTGAGATGACGTTATCAAACGTTTGGAAGGGATGAACTGATGAATATATAAATTGTGAACATATTCACGATTACCTTTAAGCGTGTGCAAAATTTCAACAAAAACTGGTTGTTGGTTTCTCAGTTAAATTGCAACATTCTGTTTCAAAATTTTAAATTGTCTAGTAGGTTGAAAAATTGACACTCATGTCATTTGCTCACATAAGTGATCTTTTAAAATCATACAAATTTGCTCAAAGAACTATATGTTCATCAAATAAAATAATTCCAGGGGCTGTATCAAATAAACACGTGGTATGATATTATAATAAATAAAATTAACAAAATTATTTTTTGAAGAAGAAGAATAAAAAGAAGCTGTACCTATTTATTCGAATGTACTTTCGGGACAAGGGAAGTTCTGCCTAAATAACTTTACACGATTTTTTTTCCTAATATTGGGAAATAACGGGGGATCAATAATTTTCAGATTAAAGTTGGCCACGGAAATATTTGTCATGTATTTGATCAAATTGCAAATGTCATGCTTAACCTCATTTGTATTTCAAAAATTTTTTGACATTTACAGTTTAATCAAAGACATGAGAAATATTTCCATGGCCAACTCTAATCTGAAAACTTTGATCACCCGTTATCAAAGATCAACAAAACTGCATTCTGATGCAATGTTTTTTTTTACAAAATTCAATATTGTAAATAATCACAAGAGGAAATTTTTAGAACTGAATTTTTAATTTCAAATTGCGGTGAAACAAATACACAACAGGTGTTTGCATTTATTCAGTAAACTCTCCAGTAGTCTTATTATGCTGTTTTATTAGAGTGCGGGTGTTTAAATGACGCAGTATTTCCAGTGTTTATTTTTGTTTGTAAAGGAATATGTTGATTTATAAAATGCCAAACACTTCCACTTCATATAAATTCCTTACCGATGTGACTAAATTATCAAAAACTACCATAACAACGATACAAATGTTTTACACAACTCAACACTATAAACAATGTAAACTTTTGAAATAATTTAAACTTCGACTGACAAAAAGTAAAAGTGAGGTTAGTCGCGAAACATTTTGTTGTGTTGTGTTGATTGAACGAAAAAATCCCAGCTGATTGAGCAAACGTAAAACAAGAAAATCCCTGTCCAGAAACACTTTCTATAAGCAGTGGCGTATCAGTTCACGACTCTGACTAAGGACTAATGGAATTTTCTCATTAGAGCAACAACGAAAGTATTCAAACCCTCAAATTTTAAAAGTGAAAAGTTATTAGTCCATTTTTCTGAAAAATAAGCTAACCGTTAGGTAGTTCCGTCAAACACGGATATGTAAAATTATTTTTCAACTTTAAAAAAGAAAAATTCATTAGTATGTAGAGTTAAGTTTTGGAAAAATACAGCTACCCGATTTGTCCCAATTTTTCGTTATCGTCCCTCTTTCTACCGAAACGGTACAAGGTTTAAATTTTGAAACTGAACTAAAATTAAAATAAATATCGAAATGTTGTTATATCATTGTAATTGTAATTTAATCACAATGATACACACATCACAACGTCGACACCATATAGGTATGCGTCATAATTCCAGTATTCTAAATTAACCTTCTCTATCCGTTCTAAAGATATAGCCCTCGGAGTTTTAGATGAAACACCCTGAATATTATTTTTATTGGAAGTATATTACATTTCAAGAATAGATTTTTTTGTTTGAATGGGGTTTTTCCGTCCCACTTCAGCCTCTCAGAAATTTGGTCGCCTTATGCATTATAGCTCGCCGATTTTTCACACAATGTGATACAAGAGCACTTAATAAAACATTTTTTATCGTCTCTAAATAGAGCAATAACAATATTAATCTTATTTTTTTAAACATTTTTTAAAGAATTATATAATACAAAAACCCTTAGTGAACTAAAAAAAAAAGCATTTGTTTAAGCGACCACAACAAATCTGGTCGTTTTACGTCCCCAATCACGTCCGTGAAGAGTCACTTTTTTGTACTAAAATGTCAGATGTCGAAAACATACTTTTGCATCCATGGCCTTATGTTTTAACCAACAGTTTATTAAATAAAAAAGCTAAAAGCACCATTATTTGAATCCCACCTTTTCTGAATCTTGTTACGAAACATGACGGTGAAGGTAAGCGAAGAAAACTGTTGCTTCTCCGGTGGGAATCGAACTACACGTTTATCGCTTGCCGGGCGGGTGCCCTTACCACTAGACTACAGAGGAACTTATCTTTCTCCGCTTACCGACCTGTTATTGTGCCGCCACAACGGTACTAACTTTTTTCTTAGCAGAGGAGTAAAGTACCACTTTGATTTTTATCAAATCTGCAAGAGTTTTCTTCCAATAACGAAAAAACCTTAAAACCACTTACATAAGCACACAACGATTTTTGCTGGATTTTAGAAAAATAAACTTCTGGAACATCTTATAAAAGAAAATCCAGCATATAAATATATTTTTTAAAATGTAATAACATAAAATCTTACAAAATAACTGAAAATGTGTTTTTCTTGAAAAAACAATCGAACTAATCAGGTTGTCTGCTTAGTCCTTGGAGGGTAGGTTAGGTATATTATTTGGACGTGTTCTATCATAATTTTCATATACCATTTTATGGACAAACAAAAAGTTGAAAATTGTTAACCAGTGTAAAAACAAAACTTCGAAATGTCAACATTAATGTCTTCCACCATTGATTAAATACATATATATTTAGTCAATGCTTCCACGGTGGTATTTCATATTTCCTCCACCATCTTTCCGTCTTTCTCGGGTATACTTTGTCGTAGTCCTTCTAAAAATACCACTGCCGTAGTTACTATAATATTTTAAACCAAGTTCTGCTTTAAGTTACATTATAATGCAACTATATATTTATACACCGTGTTTCAAAATGATTTTCATCTAGTCGCCTATAACTGCAGATTTTCATTAAGGGAAAGATAGGACTAGAAGCGATTTCAAAGCTAACTAGATGAAAATCATTTTGAAACACCGTTTATATTTGGGATTTCAAAAAAATCTTGTTATAACTTCATAATGTATACCTGTTCATATTTCGATCCTAAGAACCCGGCGCATCCACCGAAATGACATTTTACAAAAATTAAAGTTTTTTTCTTTTTAAGTTTTCTATTATGCATCCTAAAAGAAGAATTGTATAATTTACACTTAATTAGTATCAAATAACTTATTAGTTTTTGTTTATAACTACCGTCTCATAAATAAATAATGATTGAGCAGTAAGTATATAGTTATTTACTATTAATTAAGTTAGAAAATAAACACGTGCATTTGTCAGAAGACCAAAAAAGACGAAATAAAATTGTTTAATTAAAAAATTTACAACCTGCGTGAGTTTAGGAACATTGGAGCGTGGGTTCTGTAGAGATGAGATAAATCAATATGATATAAAAATAATTAATAAAAGCCCATTCTGTTGTCCTCTGTGAATAAATCAGTACACCCAAAACGCCCACATTTGATTTCGAAAGGTCAACCCTGTTTCCACACAAAATAGGTGTGCAAAGGCCTTAGAATTTTGAAACAGAAGCAACAAAGGCAAATGGTAGAAAAAGTAGGTCACTTCGTTAAAAAAAAGGCTTTGAAAACCTACATTGTAGTCCGGAAACTCTACTCACGCTCTAACACAATTAGCCGAAACATAGCCCGAACTTTTTCGGTTTTTCAGAGTCACGCAGTTTCCTCCAGCGTGTAATTTCCATGTAAAACTCTTTCTGGGCATGCGATCACGAGCTTGCTTTGGCATGCGCGCACGATAAAAAGAAGCGAAAAGGGTTTAGTACCGTGATAACAGTCGATGGTTGTGCAGTCCGGACCTGTAAACATGTCCTTGTGGCGTCTCGATGTCTCAAGTCGATCGTTACCAAAACAACGCAGCCATAATGTCTAAGAACCATAGAAGAGGAGCCTGTAGATACCACGATCGTTAACATTTGAAAATACATAAGTTCTGTTTCAATACTCATTACTGTATAATTTAATTAAAGAAAACCGCCAGTCATAAAACAGCAATAACCTTCAGCTCCTTTAATTATCTACCTTTGATGTTAGCTATTACGACGCCACAAAGTTCACAAATTCTGTTTGCCGTGATGACTTATCGCAATTCTTTCAGTGAATATTAAACGAAATACAACCAGTATTTTTTTTTTTTGAAAATGTCTTTCATAAAGTGCTGTTTCGAAGCTCCTGAGATCAGAGAAGTCCTCGACACCTTCGCCCAAAAATGCACGGACGCTGGCTGTAAGTACCAAAAACCAAATTTTTTGAATCGAGAACTTTAGCGGTATTTTAAATTATTCACACCAAAAATAATCGCACCTCGTTCGCCTTCGACCCAACAGGTGCCGCCACCACTGACCTGCAACATTTTGACAGCGGCTGACAGATAACAATCAATCAGTTGTCAGCTTGTCAAATCCCTAATCTTATTTATATTTTCAATAATTTCTGATAAATAAACTAAACTAAAATGTGTCATGGTAAGCGAGCTGCTTCTTATCACTTTCTTATCAACGAAAATGAGTTTCTTAATCGACTGTCTGTTTTCAGGCTGCTGCGGGTGTTGTAGCGCATTTAGGCCAAGGTATAAGCGATTTGTTGACAATATATTCCCGGTCTACCCGCAGGATGGACTCGTTAAAAGTAACATGGAGAAGCTCACATTTTATGCCCTCAGTTCTCCAGAGAAACTCGATAGGATCGGAGAGTATATGTACCAGAGGGCGGCTAGAGATATTTACAGAAGGCGGTATGGATTCGTTATTATCGCAATGGAAGCTATGGATCAGCTTCTGTTGGCTTGCCATGCACCCACCTTAAATCTTTTTGTTGAGAGCTTTCTCAAGATGGTGCAGAAATTGTTGGAATCAACTGAACCAGAATTGCAGATTTTGGCAACACAGTCGGTAAGGATCATTGAAGCGTTTGCTTAGTTAATGTTATTTGGATACTGATTTGAATAATTTTTTCATTACACTGATTATATCTACTTATACATTAAATTGATTTGATGTTGGCATGCAATAAATAACTATATGGCTAATATTGAATATTGACTATATTGATCAAACATGGATATAAAAAACTTATTATGGATGTATTGTATACTGGGAATTTTTATTTTAGTACCATTGTAATACACTACAAAGAGTAATATTGAACCTTTATGTTTCATTAAGAAAAAGCAATATTCATAAAGTTTGTGTTCAGTATCTAAATACATCAGTGTTTGTGCTGTAGACTTGATTACAAAACATGTCAACAATAGCAGGCCCTAGAAAATTTATGAGCATTTTGTTGTTGTAACTAGTAAAACATTCTGTAAGAACTTCATAAAATATTTTCATCATTGTTTTCATTATCTTCATTTAATTTGGCTGTTTAAAAACCATACATTTATATTTTTATACAGATGTATGCACCTTTTTAAAAACTATTACACAATTGAAGTATTATGAACAGTTAAATCATGAATCAACTAACTGAAAAAAATTGGCAGGTCTTAGTTCTATAAATTCGTCTGTATGTTTTGTGTGTAAACAAGGTGCTTGCTTGAACATATTAACGTCACTGAGTAGAATTTTGTTTAATGCCTATTATGATTTAATAACATTCATGTTAATGTGACAAACATAATTTCTATAAATTTGTATATTAAATTGAGTTTAGAAATGTTTATATAGTGATGATGTAGTGATAAAATATTATATAAACCTTCTTTAAAAAACGTGACAAACTTTATAATTGTTGCGAATTTTTGGATAAAACTGATTTAAATTTTTTTTGTTATATTGGAAAACTTTGACAAATGGGTGCAAATAGAAGTCTGTACACTTAAATATTCTGATATTGCGAAAATTGGTATTTTCTAATATTGCGTTACCAGGAACATCTTTCTGGTTAGATTTTCATATAGTAAAATGGGAACAACAGTATAATTTCCTAAGATTTACATCTACCCATACTTTCACTTTTCGGGAAAATTAGGTGCATCCTTCTTTAAAAAATATTCTGATTATTCCAATTTGTTAAGTTTTATGTATTTAGAGATTCCATTAAAAAAGTACATTCATCACTAATGCAATATTTTGTTGCACACGAGTTCGCAGAGTTCAATCAATATGTCTGTGTGAGTCATCGTTCGAAAGTTGTTGGAAGATTTAAGTGGGATTTAGAGCTGAAAATTGCCATTTATAAACTGCCAAGTTGCCGTTGATAGTAACTTTAATGTTCAACTTTTGCCTTCTTTAAAGAGATTGTAGAAGAAAAGTGAAGATTTAAGTTGATGCTACAAAAATTTACCATTTTAGATATGTTTTAAGTTTCTTGTTGTCGAAATAAGTCTACACATATTAAGAAAAGAAGGCAAAATGTAGCCCCGCCCACCCGCCCTATCTCTATTGTGATTATTTTTTTTTATTCGTGTGAGCCAAGACGGTGGACCTTAACTGCAACATCCTTATTTCTCTTTGAGAAATTAAAAACATGTTTTTGAGTATCGTATTGTTCAAAGAATACTATGTATATTAAAAAAATAAAGCCAAAGATTAGGCCCCACCCATCGGAATTGTGATGAATTTTTTTATTCGTTGGCAGACCTAGGGGCTATTGTTTATATTTTGCCTTTTTTTCTTAATATACATAGTATTATTTGAACAACACGATACTAAAAAAAAGTGTTATTTCTAGAAATTCCGGTGTCGATTATTACTTTCAGAGAATTTTTGCGTAGATTGAAGAAATTTTATTTTTTCAAAGAACATTATCGTGGGATAAGTTAACTGAGAGGTCAACTTAAAATTTTTTTATCAGACAAATTCGTACTGAAAAAATACAAAAGTATTCTATTTAAACCCTTTATCAAACGAAGCTGTACTCATTTTGTATCATTTTTTGTGTTTATTTATCATTCCAAATTTCAGTTTTCTACCTTTTCAAATAGATGAGGTATTAAACGAAGTAGTACTTCACTTTTTTTTTTTAAACACTGGATAAAACAAGTTGACGTCATTTCCTAAAAAAGTAAAGGTGATTAATGCTGGACGTGTATGTCTATTTTATACGTTTCTTTGTGGATTAATTATTCTAAATTTCGGACTTCCACTTTTTCAAATAATTGAGAAATTGACGAATTCAAGGCTCCCATTTCACAGGTTACAGAATATAAAATTTCTGGTTTTTTGTTTCCATCTATGTATCGCTTGTACGTCTGCTGAAAATGGAATTGATCACTGTATGAAATTTTAACTGTGTTTTGTTATAAGCTGGGTTATAAAACGTGAACCAAAACTTGTACTCTTATCCCTTTCAAAATTAGATGACGTCATCTCAATTTCATTGAAAAAAAAAGTAGTTATTTATGGTATAAGTGTTAAAAGTGAGATTTTATTTTGTGGCTTTGGAAATTTTGGGAACCAGCCACACGAATAAAATAAAATCATTTCTAACATGAATATCATACATTATTTTTTATGCAAACACTGTAAAATGCATGAGGTTATTAACATATTGATAGCATCTCAAAAATTATCGTAATCCGAAACTACTGGACCGACTGTTGCCAAATTTTGTATGTATGTTAGGGATATCATGTAGATGGTTAAACGCTCACCAAAATTTGGTTAATCATCCTCACCAACAATTTGATGACGTCATTTCAATGAATTCTATTTTAAAATTATTTAAATGTTGTGGTGTATGAAAAACACAGTATAATTATATTTTGCTTTTTTTCGTAATATACATAGAATTTTTTAAACTACACGATACTCAAAAACATGTTTTTAATTTCTTCTAAAGAAATAAGTATTTTGCAGTTAACCTCCGCCCCCTTGGTTCACGGCGAATAAAAAAAATCATCACAATTGAGATAGGGCGGGTGGGTGGGCTTACATTTAACCTTTTTGTTTTAATATCTGTAGACTTCTTTTCACAACATGAAGCTTAAAACATGTTTAAAATGGAAAATTTGTATTGGAAATATCGATTTAGCAATTAGGCTCCGTCCCATAATTACAAAATCCATATTTCCTTGCAAAAATGTACCATTTTAACCATGTTCTAAGTTTCTTGTTGTGAAAAGATGGCTATGTATATTAAGAAAAAAAGGCAAAATATAAGCCCCGCCCACCCGCCCTATCTCAATTCTGATGATTTTTTTATTCATGGTAAGCCGAGGGGAGTAGCTTAATTGTAAAGTCCTACTTTTCTACGAGAAATTACCATGTCAAATATGTTCTTAAGTAATCGTGTTATACAAAGAAAATTAAATGTATTAATAAAAAAAAAACAAAAGAAAAGCCGCACCCATCCGTCTCGATCTCAATCATGATGAATTTTTCATTCGTTGTAAGCCCGAGGGGCGGAGCCTAATTACAAAAATGTACCATTTTAGACATGTTTTAAGTTTCTTGTTGTCGAAATAAGTCTACACATAGTAACAAAAAAAGGCAAAATGTACCCCCGCCCACCCGCTTTTTCTCAATTGTGATGATTTTTTTTCATTCGTCGTGAGCCAAGAAGGCGGAGCTTAACTGCAAAATCCTTATTTCTCTACGAGAAATTGAAAACATGTTTTTTAGGATCGTATTGTTCAAAGAAAACTATATATATTATGAAAAAAATAAAGCCAAAGATTAGGCCCAACCATACTCGCCCCGATCTCGATTCTCAATTGTGGTGAATTTTTCATTCGTTGTCAGATCGAGAGGCGGGGCTTAATTACAAGATCCATATTTGTCTAGAAGAATTTACCATTTTAAACATGTTTTAAGTTTCTTGTTCTTAAAAAACGACTACGCATATTAAAAAAAGGCAAAATATAAGCCCCGCCCAACCGCCTTATCTCCATTGTGATGATTTTTTGTTAATCGTCGAGGTCCAATTGATAAATTTGATAAGATAAGACTGTTTTTGGCATTTGACATTTTCGACCATTTTTCAACATTTCCAAAAATTAGTTGAAGACATTTTTTTATAGATTTCGATATCCAGAAGTCATTTTCGGTATTATTAGTTGTCCCTCTCACTCGACAGAAGAACATAATTAGCCCCGCCCACCCACCTTCTCTCCTTTTCAGTGATTGATTTTATGGGATCTGAATGAAATGAATGAGCTTAAACTTAACAGAAATAAAATTTGTGATTGGAATGAGAATGGGTGGGTGGGTGGGGCTAGTACTTGCTAAGATAAGATTGACTTTGGCAAAAAACATACCCTCTAAAAAAATAGGGGGTGGGTGGGCGGAGCTTGAAATTTGATAAGATAAGAGTGATTTTGACACTTCTCAAATTTTCGACCTTTTTTCAACTATACCCTTAAAATAGTTGAAAATATTTTCTTGTAAATTTGAGATCCAGACATTCCTACCGTTTTTCCAAAATTGGTAGTTGAAATATAGCGTTTTTTTATACTTTTTTCACATCTTAGATTCTATTATTAGTGTCCACTTCCACGAAACAGAAGGTTTCCACTTCCACTAGACAGAAGAACATATTTAGCCCCGCCCACCCACCCTGTCTCTTTTTGAGTGACTGATTTTATTCAATCTGAATGAAATTAATGATTTTATACTGAATGGAAATAAAACTAGTCGTTAGAAAGAGAAGAGGGGGGGTGGGCGGGGGTAGTACTTGCTAAGATAAGACTAAGCTAGGCAAATGACGTGTGGATGGGCGGAGTATTTGGTGAGATAAGACTTATTTTGGCACTTTTCAAATTTTCGACCATTTTTCAACTATATCCTAAAATTAGTTGAAGATATGTATTTTTTTGTACATAAATTCGATATCCAGAAATTATTTTCAGCTCCGTTTCTATGGAAATTCCTACCGTTTTTCCAAAATTGCTAATTGAAATATAGCGCTTTTTTATACTTTTTTCACATCTTTGATTCTATTATTTATTAGTTTCCACTTCCACTAGACAGAAGAACATAATTAGTCCCGCCCACCCACCCTGTCTCTTTTTTAGTGACTGATTTTATTCAATCTTAATGAAATAAAACTAATCGTTAGAAAGAGAAGAGGGGGCTGGGCGGGGTTAGTACTTGCTAAGATAAGACTGATTTTGGCAAATGACATACCTTCCAAGAAAATAGAGGGCGGGTGGGCGGGGCTAGTACTTGCTACGATAGGATTGATTTAGCCAGATGACATACCTTCTAAGAAAATAGAGGGTGGGTGGGCGGGCTTAGTATTTGATACGATAAGACTGATTTTTGCACTTTTGACATTTTCGACAATTTTTCAACTATTATATATGAAAATTAGTTGAAAACATTTTCTTGGATATTTCGATATCCAGAAATCATTTTCGGCTTCGTTTCTTCTGAAATTCCTACCGTTTTTCCAAATTGCTAATTGAAATATAGCAATTTTTACAGTTTCGTCAAAATAGCTCTCTATGAAATTTTATACGTGGATAAGAAAGAAATAATTATTAATTTTTGATTTTTTTTAACTCTTTCACATCTTTGATTCTATTATTAGTTTCCACTTCCACTCGACAGAAGAAAATAATTAGCCCCGCCCACCCACCCGCTCTCCTTTTCATTGATTGATTTTATCCGATCTGAATGGAAACAATTATCTTATACTCATGTTTATGTTATTTGCCAAAATCAGTCTTATCTTATCAAATACTAAGCCCGCCCACCCACCCTCTATTTTCTTAGAAGGTATGTCATTTGCATAAATCAATCTTGTGTTAGCAAATACTTACACCGCCCACCCGCCCTCTATTTTCTTGGAAGATATGTTATTTGCCAAACTCAGTCTTATATGGTCAAATACTAAGAGCACCCACCCACCCTCTATGTCCTTGGAAGATATGTCATTTGCCCAAATCAGTCTTATCTTAGCAAGTACTAAGCCCGCCCACCCACCCTCTATTTTCTTAGAAGGTATGTTATTTGCCAAAAGCAGTGTTATCTTATCAAATACTAAGCCCACCGACTCTCTATTTTCTTAGAGGGTGTCATTTACGTAATTCAATCTTATCTTAGCAAGTAATGAAGTTTTCATTTGTTGACAGACCTAGGGGCGGAGCCTAATTGCAAAATCCATATTTCCTTACAAAAATTTACCATTTTAAACATGTTTTAAGTTTCTTAGAATAAAAGAAATCATCACGTTTGAGATGGGGTAGGTGAGCGGGGTTTATATTTTGCCTTTTTTTGAACAAGACGATACTCAAAAACATGTTTTTAATTTCTTGTAAAAAAATAAGTATTTTGCAGTTAAACTCCGCCCGCTTGGTTCACAGCGAATAAAAAAACATCACAACTGAGATAGGGCGGGTGGGCGGGCATACATTTGGAATTATGGATGTACTGTAACGATATCATGTAAATAGTCACATCCTAACCAAACATTTTTTCTTCATTTTCACCAATAATTTGATGACGTCACCGCAAAATTTTGCTAGATATATTGTATTTAGATTTTATGTAACAGTATACTTCTTGTGATTTATTAATCTGCCTTTATTTTTTACCTGAGACGTAGATTTTTGGGGAAAAAATTAAAACGGTACAAAAAAAATCTTAGAAAATAAAAAACTGATTACAAAATATAATGCGTGTTTTGGGAAAAAAAATCAAAATTTGCATAAGAGAATTTACAATCTACTTGAAATTTAACACATATTTAGAGGTTACCATCAGCTTGATATATCACTAGCTAAAATTTGTGTATCCATCCCCACCAAAATTTTGATGACATCACCTCAAAAGTTTCGTAAATAAACTCCTTTTTAAAATGTATAACATAATATACTTCTGTACGTTTAGTTTATTCATCCACTCATGTTTTCAGTGTGTAGATTTTGGAAAAAAAATCTAAACTTTTACATTCATCGCGCTTCCAAAAGCGAGGAAGACATTTTTTCTGCAGTATTTATCTTACGAATTGTACTAGAAAACAAGAAATTTTCTTCTTATAAATATTTGATACGTTGATTGAATTTATTTCTAAATTTAATTTTATTTGTTTCAGTTTGTCAAATTTGCGAATATCGAAGAAGATACTCCTTCTTATCACCGCCGATACGATTTCTTCGTAAGCAAATTCTCAGCCATGTGTCACAGCAGCGAAGGCGACCAAATTCGAATAGCAGGCATTAAAGGTCTGCAAGCAGTAATTCGCAAAACTGTATCAGACGAGTTGGTCGAAAACATTTGGGAACCGGTCCATATGGACAAAATCGTACCCAGCTTATTGTTTAACATGCAGAACGCACGTTTCCTCAACGACACAACAGAGTCAATTCCCGAGGATCAAACCGATCCTCCAATGTTGGCCGAAACCTGTATGAGAGAGCTAGTAGGACGGGCTTCCTTCGGTCACATCAGAGCCGTACTCAAACCAGTTTTAAAACATTTCGACTTGCATAAGCTTTGGGCGCCAGACAGCAATCCGAACTCGAACGAATTTGCGATTCACACGTTCAGAATAATCATGTTCTCTATACAAGCTCAGTATTCGTACACCGTAGTGGAGACGTTGATGGCTCATTTGGACGAAAACGTCAAATCTAGTCCAATCATACGTACCAGTATTGCCGGAGTTTTGTCGAAAATTATTGCCATAGCTGCCGGAGAAAACGTGGGACCAACTGTTTTAGAAATCATCAATTCGTTATTGAGTCATTTGAGAGATTCGGTTAAACATGGCACGAGTATGACGGAAGAAAAGCAGTATCAAGAGGCGTTAATAAATGCTTTGGGCGAATTTGCCAATCATTTGCCTGATTACCAGAAAATTGAAATTATGATGTTTATTATGAACAAGATTCCATTTCCTTTGGTGGATAATCATACGCCAGCGGATAATTTGTTACAAAGTATTTTGTTGAAGAGTTTGTTAACAGTCGGTACTAAGTACCAAACGATACATTTAAATGCTACATTCCCGGTTTCGTTCCTGGAACCTTTGTTGAGGATGTCGTTAGCACCAGATCCGGATATGAGGTTACTGGTACAGAAGATTCTGCACACTTTGATCGATAGGCATCACAATTTGGAGAAGTTGTCTAAACCAACGTAAGTATTACCTAGACGAAATATCAGCTTATTTGACATATCCAATAATACAGTAAACACTATTGAGTTATTTATATAGGTAACAAGGGTGAGAACAGAGAAACAAACTGTTTCACTGGAACTGACAACAACTTTCATTTGTTAAATAGAATGTTCGCCTGTTTGTAACATTTTTAATTTGTCGTCCTTAAAAGAAACAGTGGCGCCACCATCGTATTTTATATAAACTATTAAAAGTAGAATAATGCGAATGGGTATATCATTCACCATTGTAAAACTGTTCTAAATTATTTTTGCAAGTATTTTATTAGTTTGTCTTGAAATAAAACATATTTCCAGCTTTCAACAGTGTATTATGTTGTTGAAAGTTTATTTAAAAAATTGAGAATTTTGGTCAGAAATCGTTTTTATTTACAAAATAATTGACTTCCGGTTGTTTTAATATCCCTTGTGGGGCATGCATTAGTCTTATCTAAACAAACGTATTTTCTATCAGTGGGTTCTACTTCTTTCTATACCGACTAAATGGGTGTGATTTTAGCTATTTGTACTTTATATTTTAGGTGTCTGGAGTTTTTCGAAAAATTAAACATATTCACGAACCAAACCATCTCGTTATCTATCACAAGTCACAATAATTTCTTGTGCAAATATTTCGTTGAAAAAAATTGGTCGAAAGTTGTGTCGACAGAGCTTCCCTCGCTTCTGAAGTAGAATGAAACATATCCAGCATTTTAAAAAAATTATAAAATTTGATTTTGCGGATTTTATGTTTTTTGAAAACCCCCATAAGTTGAAATAAACGTATGTAAATATGCAATGCTAAAGTAAATGTAAAGATCACGTATTTCAACTTGGGTTGGTGCAGTAATACTAATAATAACATATTATATCCCCCCCACACACCAAAATTTTGGGAAAATGGAGTGAACCGTCCTTGAATTAATCAATAAAATAGATTAATTTATTCATGCAAATGTAAAAAATGTATTTTTTCGGCAAAATTATGACATGACGTCATTAATTTTTTCGGGGGGCAAAGAGATATTTTGATAAAAAAATTTCCCATGGCTGCAATAACTTCAAAACATCTGCAAGATTTCAAAGCATTAGGTTTTGCAGTTCTTGATTTAATAAATAAAATAAATTGAGTCATTATTATTTTTTTGCATCACCCTGTATAAACAAATCGAAAAAATATTAATGCAAAGGCAATAATTTCAAAAGTTTGCGGTATACTTTATAGAACTATCGAAAAAGCAAAATAAGAAGAGAAACGATAGTGCAAACAAAACTCAGGCGGCAGCTCTTTGTGCAGTGGCTGCCTGGCTGCAAGTAATAAATTAGTGAAACGCCCGGACATGCAATTTTGCATTGTGCACAATCTCGAGATCATATGTGTCAACAAACGGTCAGTTGAAGACAAAATCGTATTTTTGTAATAACCAAATTAGAAACAAATTTTATTTTCCGTTACATTTAGGCCACAAGGGGTCCTTTAACTTCGGGGGCCCAATGGTCCAGCATCACAAGCATATAGTGCTACCTGAGCAATAGGCGTAATGTTTAAAATGTTGATGTTTATACATCGGAAGAATGTCACGTAGACATTTGTTTGATTTCAATGAGTTTATCTCATAACCGCCAATTGAACAAAATATTCTGAATGTTATTATTATAATTCTTACCTTATCATTATTTTATTGTTATAAAGACGAGCGTATTCTCACATTTTCGAGAAAATGGGGTGGCTCGTTCTTAATTTGATTAATAATAAATTGACGGATTCACCCTGTATAAGCTGATCTAAAAAATATGAATGCAATGATAAATTACAAGTATAGACTGATCATATTTTCTACATTTTAGACAGGATTTATTCGGCAAAATTTTGAAATGACGTCAAGGTCATTGGGATTGATAAACGGATACATTTTACTTAAAAAATTACCATGTTTACAATAACTTCAAAACGTCTGCAAGATTTCAAAGTATTCAGTTTTGCAATTTTTGATTTAATCAATAAAATAAATTCACGCATTCGTTAATTTTTGTGAGGCACCCTGTATATGCAAATCCAAAAATTATGAATGGAATGATAAATCACAAGTATAAATTGTCAATCATATTTTGGACATTTTAGAGATTTATTCGGCAAAATTTTGAGCTGACGTCATCAATCTGTTGGAGAGGATAAGCAAATATATTTTGATTAAAAATTTATCCTGCTTATCATAACTTTAAAACATCTGCAAGATTTTAAAGCATTTGGTTTTGCAGATTCAATAAAATAAATTGCAAAATGTTGTTTTATAATTTTGATTTTTTTTTAAATCTGGATGTTTCGGGTAAAAACTCGACATTTATCTTATTTTATACAATTTAAAACCCATTTACTATGTGCAATTTTGAAATGACGTCATCACATTATTGATGCGGATGATTAGACAAATTTTGATTAGCGTTTTACCATCTACATGATATTCTTAACATAAATACAAAATTTGAAAACAATCGACCCAGTACTTTCGGAGATTATCTGTCTAATATAAATCTGGGACGGCAGACAGACGGACAGATAGACAGACAGACGCGGGAGACTTATTTCTTCGTAACTGCAGGGGTCATGAAAGGTCGAGAAAACGTAAAAGTAGAGAGTCGGTCGACGGAAGTAAAAATAGAAGAACCTCCAAACTCCTAAAATAAAGTTTTACCATAACCTCTATCCATTTTCTTCCCAAACGTAACCTAAGGAAGGAAGTTCTTTGATGTTTTGTGACCCCTAGAGTACGAAAAATTACGTCATTCATTTCCATTTGTCTATCGCCTGTGTCTCGATTTTTATTGGACTCAATCTCCGAAACTACTGGACGAATTGTCATATTTTGTATGTGTTTTCGAAATATCGTGTAGATGTAAAACGCTAAAAAATTGTCTAATGTGACATTTTAAGCTCAGACTTTCAGAGTGACCGTAACCTGATAAGATAAAAATTGGATCAAAGACAAATCTTCAGAATTTCATGGCTGCCTTTGATCGTGTTTTTTATTCCAATGAAATTTTAAATGTTTGACGACACACTGAAATTTAAAGAATACGTCTGTCTTCCATTTAGGTTTTTTTTTACACAGTAATAACGTGATTTATAACTTCATGACCAACACAATTTTAGAGATACAAAAATAACGTTCTGGGTATAATTAATAAATGCAACCATTTCAACGGTAGGTATGATAATAATAAGAAGTACTTATTTTTTCAAAATGATATTGACTTTGTGTATGACATGAGTGAGTGAATTTTAGTTGTGTGCTGTAAACCAAACTAATAATCGTCATTTTGTTGGTATACAAAGGGGGGTGCAAATTTTGCTCAAATAGCTGGGCTAATACTTGCCAAGATAAGACTGATTTTGGCAAATAAAATATCTTCTAAGTAAAGAGATGGCGGGGATAAAACTGATTTTGGCTTTCTTCTAAGAAAAGAGAGGGTGGGCGGGCGGGGCTAGTACCTGTAAGAAAGACTGATTTTGGCAAGTAAGATCCCTAAGAAAAGAGAGGGTGGGTGGGCGGGGCTAGTACCTGCTAAGAAAGACTGCTTTTGGCAAGGGAGATCCCTAAGAAAAGAGAGGGTGGGTGGGCGGGGCTAGTACCTGCTAAGATAAAACTGATATTGGCAAATGATATACTCGCCAAGAAAATGAACGACGAGTGGACGGGGTTAGTACTTAGTAAGATAAGACTGATTTTGCCAAATCACATACCCTCTAAGAAACTGAAGGGTAGAGGGTATATCATTTGGTAAAATCAGTCCATATCTTGCCAAGTACTAGCACCACCCACCCATCCTGTATTTTTTTGGAGGGTATGTTATTTGGCAATATCAGCCTTACCTTGGCAAGCATTTTCAAAAGTAATTCGGCACGGTGGAATAGAAATATTAGAATTGGTGTCAAAAATGAACTGAGAGTACTTCCTAGGTTTATAACCAATAAACACACTATCGAAGAAGTCTGCAAAAGCGTCAACAATTTCAGACAGATCAGATAACTCATTACCTTCATAGATCGTAAGGCCTAGAATTCTATTAGTTGTTCCCTTTTTGCTTTAAATAAAGCTGCAGATTTTTTTGGAATCAACAGAAATGGTTTGTTCTAAGTCGGATAAGTAATTTTTCTAAGCAAAATTAATAAGTGCTTTAGATTTGGAGCGAAGACGTTTAAATGAGTCATAAGATTGTGAAGATCCGCTCTTTTTGTATTTTTTAAAAACACAATTTTTTAATCGAATAGAATGAATGACGTCACTAGTAAACCAAATAAATTGATAATTTTGACCGAATTGCAGTAAAAATTTTGCTCAAGTATCAGGTAGTCAGATATAGTAGACCGAATTGCGGTACATTTCCGTTCATGCTTAGGGGGCAGGGCACAACTGTGTCACCTGTATAATCTTTCAATTCAAAAATAAAGAAATTTCAAGGTACAATTTTGTGAAATGGGTCAGCTACAAATTTGCTAATCTCATGTCATAATTGTAGATAATAAGATAATATTTAGGTATAGTTTACGGTGATTTTAATTAACAATTTCAGAAATTATATCATTCGGAGCAGCATAGATCAATAACAATTTACTAACCAATAAGTATAAACTAGTGATTATACAAATCTATGTAAGTATGTGATCTACGGATTGTTTTTCAATAAATATCTAAAAAGAACAAAAAATAGAGAAAGTGAAGTTATTTGAAAATTGATATAAATAGTATGTCCATGTTATTAACTAAATTTTTATTCAGTTGGTGATTCAGAATTGTGGATATTAAATTAATTTGATCATCATTTAAATGATTTAGAAAATTGCTTACCGCAGTTCGGTGAGGGATTATAAGATACCAGGTAGTCAAAAAATTTTGAACCGCAATTAGGTCGAGGATTAAAAATCCACTGCAGTTCGGACAGCCCGCCCATTTTGCATCCTAAGCGTAAGCTAAGTAATC